TTCAGTGATCATTTAATTAACTCTCAGAACCATTTCTCTTGGCAACATATGGATATTATAAGGAGAAAATTGATGTTGGTCACTATTGGGACTTACTTAGGGTTAAGCTGAAGGCGGGTCTAAGACAACCTTGTTCACATGGGCTTCTCGGCTGCCTTAATAGACAACGAGAATACCCTGGGGACGAGGCTGAGTCCACTACGAAGGGCGGATAACTACATGAAGCTATCGTTTTCTGCCTTTGGGGTATAGCTGTGCACTGCTTTGCATGTTAAAAGTTATAAAAGGCGGTTATTTGATCTACACGACTCATACTGTTTATGAATAAACAAGAGTGAACACAGAAAAGAATATCTTTTATATATCCGATATGCTGAAATTCTTGCATGGTTCTGTCCATGTTTTAGAGGTTGGTTTTGCCCTACCATTTATTTTCTCTGGGAGACATCAACTTGACACTTGGACTCTTGCCCCCCAGAAGACACGTGGTATGGGGTGATTCTGTGGGTGTTGAGAGTTCTAGGTCAGGGCTTAAATCAGAATGCGCGGATATTTTTCACCAGAACTTTCTCTGGTTGTTGTGCCTTACTGACGAGCCCTAAAAAGGGCGAAACAGTCGTCTATGGCTACAATCTCACTCTGTTTTGAGTTCTTTCGGTGTCGTGTTGATGTCTTGCAGAGTTAATTTTCACGTAGTACAATCAGCATTGCAGTATTCTGGTTGCAGAATTTAATATCTCTACAGAGTATTATTAGCTCTTACCTTATTGTTAAGTATATCAAGGTATTTTATGTTTGCAGGTAGTTTAGGTGTTTTGCCTCCAGTGTTCAGTAACATCACGCTTCGGGACCCTTTATATGTATGCTTTAGAAAAGAACCTGGTGACGCCGGGTCTGCGTCATTATAAGCAAAAATGACCTTGGATGTTTCCTCCTAAAGAGTAAAAAGCCAAGTTTAGTATTTTCTCAAACAGTTGAGAAACTGACAGAGGTCTTCTTCCCGATGGATTCTTGTGGTTTATTCTAGTAAAAAGCCATACCTCAATTTTGTTGTCCTTGTCGTCGCAGGTATCAAATTTGCGTTGAAACTTCATGGTTGTTTTGCCGCCAGTTTCTGTCAGAGAAATAAGCTTGTAATCCTGAGACGAGTCTAATTCCGGAGTGCTGTAAGAAGACGCAAATCGGTCCTATTGAAAAAAAGAAAAGAAAAAGAAAGAAAAACATACAATGTTGGAGTTTTCGATCTACGGATAGAAATGCATGGGATGATTTAGTTACACACGATATCTCTATTGACTCAGATTGAACTATTCCAGTCATTTATTAGAGGCTCATTCATGAATTCTGTATCGGGTTTAAATACGGTTTCATCCCTTCTGTGTGTTTTTCGATCATTGGTCGCTTGTTGCGTCGTTTGGTTGTGTTTGTGATAAAGGTCACGTGTGCGAGTCGTTATTGCATAACACTTTCTGGAAAATTATATTATATTGATATAATAATCGTAATAGCAGGTCTCAATCGAAACTGACCAAGACTCGCCTTGAAACGGCCCAAAATAGCAATAAAAAACAATACAGATAACGAGGAAACAAGTAGTCTGAAATGTCAGCTGTCTCTACCCTCTAACCCGTGGAGACAATGTCGGCAATTCTGATCTATTCTTTAGTTACTCTTTCGTAGTTGTAAAAAGCGATCGCTAAAATTCTCATAAACTTATAATTTGTCATCCAATAACTATTTTCACTCGTGAACTTGGGCTACCTGTGGTGAACCACAAAGGCACCAAGAGATAAGCCCGAAGCTTGCGTCTGTACAGGAACCTCCAAGGGATTGTTGAGGTCTTAGGAGCTTGTATTTCTGGCAAGGAATAAGTGAAAAGCGGGCTCGCAAGTCCTACATATCCTACCGTAAAATATTGATTTCCATCATCTGTAACTCCTCCAATTACGATGTCCGCTCCTATCATTTGCCTTCGGCCGCTTGAAATCCCAAAGCCAACCCATCCAGTAGTTTGTGCCCACTGCAAAGGAAATTGATCTAGCCTTCCAGTCCACACTCCAGTACAATGTTACTTTCTGAGCTTCGTCCAAAGCGGCTGAGTTCGTAAACTCTGAGGAAAGATCTTTCTTTGCATTCGCCGCGTGGAAAGATTCTAAAGGAGCGTAAAGCAGGATAACAAAGTAGAACTTCATGTTGATGACTGTTATCGTTGAGATGTGGTTCTGAAAGTGTATCTATTAGAGTGAATCTACACGCCTTTTGAGAGTTATCAATTTAAAGAACGCTTTTTATTCTTATTTACGATGCAATTTATAATTCATTCATAACATTTTGCTATTTTTAGTAACCTCAATTGTTCTGAAACGAAATCAGTAAAATATCACTTTAGTGAGATCGATATTATACCATGTGTATTTCGCAAAGTCAGATTCTTCTGCTCTTAATTAATATCCAAATATTGTCTTTCAGATCCTTTAACATCTAAAACGGTAAACTGAGAAAAAAAGAAAGAAAGAAGAACGTAATAACAGAACGAAGAACGACTCAAAACATTGACACACGACTATTTCCTGACAAGAATCAACAACTGAAATTTAGAGAAAGAATTAGAAGTTGAGCTTGAACATGAAAAATCCACTCTAATCAAGTCAGAGTGAAGGGTGCGTGGGTCCGTTACAATTTGCTTAGTTACTGATCCAATCTTGCGTAGGTATCGGACGCCAAACCATTTGTAAAAAAGCAAAACTTGTAACGTCATTTTCTTCATTTGCACGGAAGTCCGATTCGTGTAAAAATATCTGCAGTTTCAAAAGATAAGGATTCACGTGGACTGGGCCTCATTTATCATCAATTTAGTTATGAATTTTTCCTGCAACATCAGCAATATGTTGATTCACGCTCAATTTGTTAACAGGATCTAGAAGAGGGGGTCTGGATCACGAATCACGTGATTAGGTGACGAACTTATCAAGCCCATCAGCGATTCTTAGTGGTTTCTGGACTACTATAGGCAAGAGTCTGTCTTACTGCGTTTTTCACAAACATACAAATTCTGAAGTTCAAAAGCCAACTAACGATTACGTTTTTCGCTGCCGTCAATCATCTTAACGGACCTCTTAGGAAACAAAACTTTACTTGAACGGGTTGAAAAGGTCATTTGTGATTGGTGGATTTCGATCCGTTTTGTGTCTTTCTGTGTTTCAAGGTTCGTTGCTAGTGATCGTAATTATGATTGACGGCAGCGCAAAACGCAATTGTGAAGGCGGCTTTTGAACTTTAGAATTCGCATGTTTGTGAAAAGCGCAGTAAATGACCCCGTGATAGGAAGGAAACAAAAAGTATTGTGCGGATCAAACTGACGTTTCTCTGCTTTTGGTTTGACCATTACAAAGTTGACTAGCAATGAATTTTATTGCCATACAATCGAAGCTCTACAATTTTTCACTTTAACTTTTTCACAATTTTTCACTTTCACTATAGCGCCATTGAGCTCACGGAAATGGCGCTATATAAATTCTTGTATCATCATTAACGTGAACCCTCGTCACGACACTTACATCTGTTTTATTGGTAGAAAACTCGATTCACGGACTTCTATGTTAGAGGATCACGCGTCACAGTGAGTATATAATTCACGAATAACGACTTTATTTGATGAGTTTTCCTGATTCACACTCTGTTGTCTGCCTCTGTTTACCGGTCAGTCCACAGATTACGCGAAACCCCTTCCAGACCCTGTGTTAATAACCAAAACAACACAAACAGTCTAGCGACTCTGACGCTTACACCTTTATTTAAGCAACAGTGATCATACAAATGTGGCATATACTCTCTCATCTTGACAACTGATACAAAGAGGTACGGGAGATATGACAAAAGAAAATAAAACCAATAGCCAGTAGCGCATGCATCGCCTAGGAATTTACCTTATTACATGAAATTTTCGCGACATGTTTATTTCGCGATTTTGATGTGTGCACATTTCGCGACACTTAAATGTCGCGTTTTTCAGTACAACAGTTTACATTTCAAAGGCAGTGTTATTTAACATCATGTAACATGTCTTTGAATTAAATAAAACGTCTTTATCGAAGGAACAATAACGTCAAAATTAAGAAAAACCAAGAAATTCTCACAATGTACACAAGCAGTTCATACTTGTACGTGAATTATTGTTCTTGGGTCAATTGACCACAACATCCATTTACACTGAAAATTCATCAGAATAGTAAAAAAAGTGATTTGTAAACGATTCAGTAGTAATAAACTCGTTCTTTCTTGATTATGGACAAAATATAATGAGAGTCGATTAATTTTCGCGTCACTTTAATTTCGCCAGTTTTTTTGTATCGCGAAATTAAATTTCATGTAATAAGGTAGTTTCGGTGCAGTAGAAGCCTTCTCAAATTACGGTATCCGTTAAGGAAATGGGTATGCTACAAAGTATTTTCACAATTACAAGCCGGAGCTCTGATGGCTCGCAGAGCAGACGTAGTTTATTGGGTGAGCGATGGGTAGTAATCAATTTACATTCGAGTAAAAGCTATCGTATGGCTCATGCTGAAAAAATTTTGCATAAGGCGGAGTGAGCTGATAGACAAAATTTGCCAGCGCCGCTGAAGGAGGGAGGAGGGTGGTAAAAATTGTTTGAACCTTTGTCGAGTAGACTTGTGAGAAGAGAGCGAATTTGTTTGCAAGGACGTATAAAAGACCTATAGAGATTCCCTGGGGACATCTATACCCCATAGAGTGACTTATACGGGAGCAAATCCAGTTGATTAATCGTCACTCGATGGCCTTTACGCCAAAGATAAGAGCTGGAGCGAGCCACTTTAAACGATTTCAAAGGGAGTCACGAGGGTTTACTTTCAAAATGGTGGCCTCGCGTGATCGAATTTTAAACAAGTGTTCGTGGAAAAAGGGTTATAAAAAGGGCAAGTTCACCAAGGCAAGCTTTAAAAAAAAATCTGCAAAGAGTGAATAACTTGTACATGAGCTGCTCAAAACACTACACGCATGATTATGACCAAAGCGACCGCCACAAACAGGTACCCAGTCCTTCCAGTCTTCAGGGTGACGTCATTAGCACTGCTCTTCGTGGTCAAACAAGACTCTACCGGTTTATACGGAGATGTGATTCTCGGCTTCCTTGCCTTGTCAACACCCTGCAGACACAAAACAAAAAAAAGAGGTTCTTTATACATTTATTACCCCTTTACTGCAATAAACAAAAATCAGAATCAATTACAAGAAACCACAGTCTTATTCGAGTAGCAGACATGTGCAAGTGTATCGCTTTTTAGGTACATCCTTGCCTAACCATTATATTTCTTTTGCCACATCCTCGCCTCTGTACTTCACAGGACATTTAGTTTCCCAAATGCCAATTTAAATGGAAGACGCTCGACGACGAATCTTTATCTGTCTTTTAAAATTTCAATGGTGTCATCCTAATCTGAGTTCCGAAAACTATGTCTTCATTTCACTTTGCAGTTGGCTAGTTTAAAAGATCGCGAGTTTTCTTTTCTATCACTGCGTCGGTGAAACTTTCAACAAAAAGTTTGAAATGGTTCGTGAAGGGAAAATTGTTCCTTTGGAAAGAAATAGGCGACGAACCTTAGGCTCGCGGCATCCCCGAAATAAAAGAGTTTATTCCGCCGCAGACCGGCTGTATTAAACTCCGCACCTACCTGTATACCGCGGTTACCAGCGGCTTTGCATCTCAGTTTAAGTTCAAGATCCGCGTCATAAGCTGCTCGCAGATCTTGTGTCATTTCACTGGTCCATATTTTTGGCGGGAAAGGGATGGAATGTGTTCCATTCCTGTAGTGCAATGAGAGGAAAAAATGCAATATAAATGCAACTACCGATCGCCCTATGTAAGGGCATACGGATTCCGGAATACGGGAAACTTTTGCCTTTGGAATCCTGAATAGATCGCGAGAGTTCAGGGAATCCGGAATCCCACTAACTATTGGAGTTCCACTGACAAAAACTCAGGAATCCAGTAAATGGAATCGGGAATTCACTTTCAGTGGAATCCAGAATCCGACACAGTCTTGGATTACCTTACATGGAGCAATACCCAATTAAACATTTAATTCATAAAACCTGTACATTGGCTGGTATATCAGATTTGTTATATGGCTGGAATTATTCCCAACAGTTCATGCTCACATTAGTTACTTCGAGATCACATGACATCTAGCAATAAAAATGTTTCCGGCCAAAAGTCTGTGAGCGAGCAACATTACAACATCTCACGCTGCACCCTAATGTTTAATGCTGGCTGAAATTTACTTTGATAAAATTATACAGTAACACGTAGAAGTTTTCTTCTTGGGTTATATAACAAAAAAGTCACTTAATGACTTAGTCCCTCGGGGAAACTAGAGCTACAGTTACGAGATTGTAGATTCTTACCACGCGTATTTCGAAAAGAATCTATTTGCAGCATCCTTAGAAACGCTGGCACATTTGGTAAAATTAGCGCTGGGGTAGTACATTAGAAAAGCCAGACACATCTCGTCCAACGTTTGCAGACCACCCTAAAAAATAATTAGTGAGAACTAATTAAAAATTATTTATATCAAACACATTTGCTGACCAATGGAAGAAAACCAGTTTGCTTTTGAGGAAAAGTTGCTTCTTTGTTCGTCATTCTCGATTAAAAGGTTGTATTTTTTAGGTTTTTTAAAAATTGGCTGCATCGGAACACCTTTGATAGAGTTGATTTAGGTCTAATGAAGACAAACTCTATTGGTAAATGGCGACTAACGGGTTTAACAAGCACGATAAAGGTCATTTGATATGTCTATGTTTTTTTTTTCTTTGAGTATGACTAGGAGTGTAATCAATTAAATATAAGCGATCGAGTTGTTTTAATTGCGAGTCGATGTCGTATCTGGATTGTGACTGTGCATAACAGGACTATTCGCAAATTTTGGGGGGTCCTTATAACTTTTAAGCTTACACCTAACTGTAACAACGTTTTCATAGGAAGTAAAAAAGAGAACTGAAAAACGCTAAATAGGAACAAATTAGGCATGCTCACTGCATTCAGGGATCTGTTGGGAGACTGAAGCAGACAAACATCTTTACAGTGGCCAATCCACCTTCTTTCAACTCAGTTGGTAACAAATTGAAGTATTATACCGTACTGCTAAAAGCGTTTTCAGAATTATTAAAATATCAAAACGTTATTTACATGTATATTTGGCTTTTTCTTTCTTTTTTTTTTTCTTTATGCTTTTTTGTATGAAAAAAAAAAACTGGACTTAAGTGAGCTCCCTATATACTTCTGGTTTTCACTTACAAAAGTCACTTGATTCCTGTCCTCAGTGTCGTAGGTACAGGCAACAATGAATTCATCTCCCTGAGAATAAAATGTTACTAAGCATTTTTAGACTTCATTTCTATATTCTTTCCCTCGTTATTAGGATATGGGTAACTTCGATAACTTCGCCGGAGAAATCAGCTGAGATGAAATTCAGCTGTATTTAGGAGATTCAAAGATATCCTCTTTGGAATATTCTTTTCTTCGTGGTCTGTTTTAAAGGATTCCAGCTGCCATTTTTTCTACTAAGTTAAAATAGGCAAAACAGTATTTGTGACTTACCGGAAAAACCTCAACTTCCTCCTTTAGCATTTGATATTCCTAAAATTGAAAAAAAAAGCGAAAAAGAAATTAGGGGATCAATGCCATAAAACTACCGGGACAGTCCTGGAGTGTCTTCTTCAATAGCCTGCATGCAGCTGCACCCTACCCTCTCTCCTCTCCCCTTCCCCCCAACTCCTCTCTTGACGGTAAACCTACTTCGGGAAGGGTGCCAAGTCTTTATTTCATTGAAATCACAACTCGATCCAGTTCAATCCAGGTTAATTCACGCTCATTAGGAATAATAAACTGGTGAAAATTTGATGTGGTACGCTTTTCACAGCTGCTAGAGAATACGTACTTGGAAATTGAAGTCGTAATGGTTATCGTAAACAATTTCTTTGAGCTCTTTTCCATTCCTAATATGGTGGACATGTACTTTTCTACCTATAACAGAGATACATTACAGGCGTGGTGAGTAGTCAGACATAATGGAAGTATAAGTTAATATTCAGTATAAGAAGATACTTGGAATGAGAATATAAAATGATCGACGACGTTACCTCAGTTGCTGAAGAATTAAGTAGTAAGTATTCTAAGTTTGTCGGTCCCCTCTGTCTTCAAATATGATTTTAACTAAGGGAGAATGAGCTCTCTTGTTTCAATCCAATACAACTTTCTCATTCCTGAATGTCCGACAATGGTTTAGAAGAGGTTGTTTTAAAAGAAAAAAAAATGAGGCACGTAAAACGATACTTTTCTTCATACTTTACGTTTACGCACGTGGATGAACATAATTAAAATGATTAATTTATGCTGGATATAATTATTTACCTGCATAATGAGTGTGAAGCAAAGCTGCAAAAATTTTAATTTTATGTCCTTGCAGTGGAGATTTTTCCAAAGCCTAAAACATCGAAAATCACGTTGTTAGCTATTCGACATGTAAATC